ACTGCTGTGAGTTTTCAGGAGGAAAAATCTTTGCATGTCACCTGTTCTACCTTTTTATCAGATGTACCACATTTACACTTCTTTTCCTTTCTGACACTGGCTATATTCTGCTTCAAATTTCACTTGCAGTCTATCAATAAAGATATAAGGAAAAAACACACTCATTGCCATCCAATCCATTCCAACTCAGCAATGCTACAGGGCAAAGTAGAACTGCCCTGTGGAGTATTCAAGGCAGTAAATCTTTATAGAAGCAGGGGGCCTCACCTTTCTCCTATGGAGTGGCTTGTGGGTTCTAACCATTCACTTTTTGGTTAGCAGCCAAATGCTTTAACCAGTAAATCACTGGAGGTCCTTAATAAGTGCATGCCAAAATGTCTCACCCCATTATTTTTTATCACTTCTATTGGTAATAATGTATCACAAAAAAATTCTTTCAATTACTACTGTGAACAATAGTTTCAAGAAACATCATCTGCATCAAAGTCATAAACTGCTCAAGTGAAACAGAAAATAACCTTCCAAGAAAACTATGAATGTGCTTTCTGTTGCTTCCTGGCCTTTTTATTATCACAAGATTAATTTCAGTGATCCTAGACAGTATGTATTCTTTTGGAGTAAATTGTATCCAACTTGACTTCATGAAGACTGTCTGTATTGTTTCTGTTGTTTGTGATTTCTCCAGTTATCCTGATCTATGATAGCCCTGGAGAACAGCACAAAGACTTTGATCTATATTATAAATTTTTCCTCCTTCCTTCAGATCCCCTCCCACCTTCCCAGCTCTATCCCTGGGCAAATCCCCTTGATTTCATATGCTTGATTGTTCTGAGTGCATACCCTCCTGATATTACTGTCACCTCATAGGCTTGTTTTTCACTTGGCTGAGAGTTGAGTTATGGGGTTTAAGTTCATTGTCAATTTGGAAGGGTGTCTAAGGGCTGTAGTCTCAGGGATTCTATCAGGCTTCACCAGACCAGTAAGCCTGGTTTTCTTTATGATTTTGAGCTCAGTTTCACATTCCTCCCCCCACCCTCTCTATCTGGGTCCTTTTATTGTGATCCCTATCCAGCCACTCTGCAGAAGGAAGATAGGACAATCTACTTCCATAAAGACTTACCATCTTAGAAATTCAATGGTGGTTGTTATGAGTCAGAATCGACTCGATTGTTTGTGAGTTTGGGTTTTTGGTTTATCAAAGCGGTCAGCAGTGCTAGCTGGGCACCATCTAGTTTGTCTGGTCTAAGAGTTGTAGAGGCTGGGTTTCACATGCCTCACCAATCCTTTGGACCAATTGTTTGCTTGTATCTTTGAATTGCTTCACTCTTTTTTTGCCCAGACTGGGAGAGACCAAATGGTGGTACCTTAAATGGCCACTCACAAGGTTTTAAGAGCTTAGTCAATATTCACCAAAATAGGATCTAGAGCACTATCTCTATGGACTATATTATGCCAATTGACCTAGTGTACCCCACTTTGTGTGGTCCTGAGCCTCCATATACAACAATTCATTCCCTAAAGATGTTTGGTTGTGACTAAGATGTTTTCATATTATCCCTTGTATGTTCTAACACATCCATGAATATATTTGAAGCACATATAAATATATTGGTAAAGATAGCCTCTGTCAAACCTATATATATGTGTGTGGGTATAGTACCATTCACCTTCCTACCTCTATTCAGATTGAGTGAATTACTTCTCAAAATCAGTCAGTGATACTCAATAGATCACAACTGTCAATCTCAACGGACTATGAGGATGGACTGGACCATGCAGCCTTTTGTTCTGTTGTGCATGGGGTCACCATGAGTCAGGGGCCATCTCAATGGTAGCCAACAACAATAATTTTCCCCACTCTCCAAATTACATTTTTTACATTAATTCCCCCTTTTTAATTTCTACCCATCTGTAATGTCTAGTAACTCATTATTTTCACTTTATGAATTATATTTCTCATAGCCTACCCTAGTCTAGGGCATTTGACTGTTAACCAGAAGGCTGGTGGTTCAAACCCACCAGCCACTCCTCAGAAGGAAGATTGGGCAATCTACTTCTGTAGTGATACTGCCTTGGAAACCCAAGGAGG